GTAAGAAACACATTCATTTTCTTGGTAAATTATACAGTTTTGGGTATTCTGTTATAAGCAACAGAAAACTGGAGTAAGACAGATGGGATGGAATATAACATTATCAGGTGAGGAAGTAAAGACAAGCGAGATCAGGTTACCAGAAGGAATGTTTGAATCAACATTGAAATCACCAAAATTCCTGTGATGACACAGTAAGAAAAAAACTTTAAGGAATGAGAAGTTACCCAGAGGTGTTTACGTAATTACCATAGGGAGATGTAGTAGGTGAGAGATGAGAGAATCTGAGGGTATGAGATTTAAAGAAGTTGAAAATATTTGAGAGTGGGGATAAATATGTTCAAGAAGAAGAAATGAGATAAAAAGAAAACAGTTGGCACCTTCAGCTCCACTGGGGTGTAGGGTATGCAAGAAGAAACAGCCATTAATTTAGAGTGCTGCTGGAAAAGCATTGTTCTCAGGTGACAACTGAGTTTCAGTAGAAAAAGAATGGAAAGAGAATATTCATAAAGTAAATATAGGAAATTTTGTGAACAACTAACCATGAACAATTCCGCAAGGCAGAGTTAAAGGACCTGGACAACGGGGGAAATTTGGGAGCGTGAGTAATGTTAGGGAAGTTACAGATAATATATGGGTCCAAATGAAAACGTTTTAAAATTTGGAGTAAACAGAGATAAACCGTATGATTGGATTGTTGTCATAATGGTCTTTCTCACTCTGTTGTGGGCTTAACTGTGTCTTTCCAAATTTCACATGTTTAAGCCCTAGTTCCCAATACTTCAGAATGTGACTACAATTGGAGATATGGCCTTTAAAGAGGTTATCAAGTTAAAATGAAGACATCTGAGTGGGCACTAATTCAATCTGCAAACCAAGGAGAGTGGCTATAGAACAAACCAAGCCTGCTGACACTTTGATTTTGGACTTAGAGTCTCCAAAATTGTGAAAAATTATTTTCTGTTGTTTTAGCCAAACAGCCTGTGGTATTTTGTTATGATAGCAAGCTAATATAGTCTTCCTGGTGAAGGTGAATAATAGTTCTGATTACATCCTACTTTTTGGAACTTCTCTCTTGGGTAGATTGTATTGATGAGGTAGAAAGCATTAGGAAAGAGAGAGTTCTTTCCAGGAATGTAGTTCTGTGGATACACTGTTCTGTCTTATCAAGGGCCAGTGTAACTTATTCATTTGTTTATATTTTTTTCTTTTAGCCTTCTTTTAATTTTTGATTACTACTGATAATACAATTAGGTAATTACAGTCATTTATTTATTCATTTGTTCAACAAACATTTATTGAGTGCCTATTGTGTGCCAAACTATTCTAGGTATTAGGTATAGTAGTGGAGGAAACAGTTAAAAACTCCTGCCCTTATGGCGCTCACTTTCAAGTAGCTCTAATTTGGGATTGTCATTGTGGAATTTGATAGCTGGAGTTCTTATGCCCAAACTCTCCCTACTCCAATCAGCATATTTTATTAATCCAAAATTAACTTTCTTAAAGTAGAAAATGCAACATTTAGCTCTCAATCTAAAAAAAAAAGAAAACTAGTAGTTTTATATTCCCTTGGAAATAAAATCCTTATTTCTCACTATGGCATTCAAGTTATGATTTGGCCTTGAATTACTTGTCTGGGATCTTCTGAAAATTAACAATTTTTATCCCCTTTGAGAAGCCTATCTTTTATTGTTGTTTTTTATTATTTCAAAATTGACATTTCAGGATACAAAGATGTGTGAAGTAGTTAGAGGAGTTCACTATATATTAATTACCTATATACTAAACACTCAAAAGATATTTAGCTGTTTTTCCATGTTACTTTCAGTCCTCTGATGGAAGTTATCTATCCTGTAACCCTGAGCTCTAATTGCGTGCACAGGTTGGGGACAGGGTGCATATGCAGTTAGAGAAGAAAAGTCCAACTATGTGAGGAATTTCCAAATCATCTGTTCTAGCAATTGGAAAGGGTTCCCGTTTGCTTTTCATTGCTTTTTCTGTTGAAGGCAGCTGATTCCCTAAACAATAGACATGACTATTATATATGTTCTCATTTTTTCTCTTAGTCAGAAATGCGAATATTTTTAAGGAAAACAAAGCAGTGACCTTTTACTGTGTCAGTCAGAGTCTAGGCCGGAAACAGAAGCCATACTCAAAATGGTTTAACTGAAAAGGATGTAATGAAGAGACTATTAGCGGAGGTTTTGGCTGGGTTGAGAGAACTAAGGGAAGCCATTACCACCTAGGCCTGAAAGGGCACTGAAAGGAAACAGTGTAGAGATCCAAGAGAGAGCTGAAGTCATGGAAAAGAGGCATCTAGACAGGCATTGTAGTCATAGGGGAACATAACAGCAGTCAAAAATTTGGCTTAGTGTAAGGAGAGCAGCTGATATTTCACTTCTCCCTTGTTTTTGATCCTCTGCTACTGCTTCCTATTGGTCAAACACAACAGGAAGCCACAAGGCAATGGGGTTCTAGTGATTATCCATAGATGCCAGCCTTCCAGGGTACAGCTTGGTAGAGAAGTAGAAACAATAAATTTGGGGAGGGAAACAGAGAATATTGCTACTATAAACATTCTTCATGACCACAGGAAGTTAAAAAATCACTAGGTAGCAAGACAATTAAAAATCCCCACAGACCTACCTTTCTAATATTGCCTCCTCCTTATTCACCCATATAACTTACTGAATATCCTCTCTGCCTAGCACAGGAATGGGCAACCTTTTTTTATGTAAAGGGTCTGATGGTAACTATTTCAAATTTTGAGGCTTTAGAGATAGAATTGAAAGTGTTATGTCTTGTCTATGTAACCATTTAATATGTAATCATTTTTTTTTTTTTTTTGAGTTGGAGTCTCACTCTGTCACCCAGACTGGAGTGCAGTGGCCCCTCCCGGCCACCGCAGCCTCGACCGCTCCGGCGATCCTTCTGCCTCAGCCTTCCAAGTAGCCGGAATTACAGATGCGCGCTATAACACCCGGCTAATTTTTTGATTTATTGTAGAGATGAGGTCTCGCCTGCCCAGGCGGGTCTCGAACCCACGGGCTCAGGCAATCCACTCACCTCAGCCTCCCAAAGGCGTGGGATTACAGGCTGAGCCACCGAGCCCGGCAATATGTAATCATTTTAACACATAAAAAACAGTCATTGAAATTCAGTGGTCTGGATTTGGTCCATAAGCCATAGTTTGCCACCCTGGCCTAGAAAGTCTTCTAAATTTTTGCTAACCTAACATCAGCCTGCTTTTCAATGTTAAGTTCAAATAAAACGCCCTCCATGTAGCCTCTCATACTGGGACTCTGTGCTGAGTGACAGAATATCAGTTTTTACTAGTTTAAGTAAAACTGAGCATACCTCAAGAGGATGCTGGGGGTAGATGCCAGAATCCAGGAGCTAAAGAAACTCCAGCTGCTCTGGGATATCCTAGTTTGCTCCTGTGGTAACATAACATGACTTCATCTCCCTTCCTTGTCTCTTTGCTTCTGACTCTAATTTGGCTTCATTGTCTACTAGAGGCGGATCTTCCTCACAGCAAACAATACTTATCTGTCCCCCTTTATGTAATAAGCCCCGGAAAATATTCTGCTTGACCTGTTCTGGTCACACATCCACACTTTGATGAAAGTGTGTGGGTGGAGGAAGGGGGGAGAATGGTGGTGCTGGTGGCACTGACATTCCACCATTGCACAAATTTAGAAGAGCCCACTCCTGAGGAGGGGGAAGGGACAGTTTCCTAAAGGAAAGGAGAATTCTGTTGCCAGGAGATGAAACAGGAGAGGATGACTATTTCAGGGAGATAGAAATGTCACAACTATAGTCCAATGTGTGATGTGCTACAACAGAGATAAGTCTGACACATGTCTTTATCACCCCCAGTACTTAACATCACACTTGGTAGACATTCATGCGATTTTGATGAATGACTCAGTTCCCCCAGCTGATTGTGAACACTCTCCTCTCTAGACCGGCCCCGAATTCTATCAGTTGTTCTTTATTCTGTGCGTTGTATCAGAGAATTGTTTTGTTTGTTTATTTTTTGTGTGTGTTTTTTTGAGTTGGAGTCTCACTCTGTCGCCCAGACTGGAGTGCAGTGGCCGCTCCCGGCCACCGCAGCCTCGACCTGCTGGGCTCCGGCGCTCTTTCCGCCTCAGCCTTCCAAGTAGCTGGAACTACAGGCGCGCACTACCACGACCGGCTAATTTTTGATTTATTGTAGAGATGAGGTCTCGCCAAGTTGCCCAGGCGGGTCTCGAACCCCGGGTTCTCAGGCAATCCACTCACCTCAGCCTCCCAAAGGCGTGGGATTACAGGCTGAGCCACCGAGCCCAGCTATATCAGAGAATTTTTATGCTCATATATGATCTCTCCTTTCATCCCGGGTGCAAAAAGAGTGTTTGAGACAGAGGCAGACACGCAGTTGAGCATGCTGTGTGTCAGTCCCAGGGCCCAAGCACAGAATGCCGACTACATGGCTGATAGGAACTGTCATGTTTTGGGTGACCCGTATGGCCGTCTTTGTTGAAGTTGTTAGGACACAAAGCCCCCACCTGAAGACGCGACCCTCCCATGAAAGGGAGGCAGGCCCGACGGGGCGGGGGTGCAGCGGGGGCTCAGCCTGAGGCGCGTCACTGAGCACAAAGGAGACAACAGAGAGGCGGCAGCGGGAGCGGATCTCCGCTCGCCAGCCACTAGCGATTGCGGTTACAGACCTGCAGCTCCCCTCCCCCTCCCCTGCCGCGGACTTGCCGCCCGCCTTTCTGTCTCCTCTCTCCCTCCGTACTGGACCGCTCGGGTCCATTTCCGGGCTCCGGATATTTGGTATCTCAAGCTGGGCCCGGGGCGCGGAGCAGGTGGCTGTGGCCGGGCAGCTGCGCCGCCCGCCGGGAG